AATATTCTATTCCATCAGCCACAACTACCAAACATACCTCTCAATCTGGTCATTTAAGACCATGACCTGCTATTTTCTTGTAACAGTTTGACGTTTCCCATTGCTGGAACCAACAAACCTCATAGCAAAACCCCCCACCCATGACTATCCAGTACTGTTTGACACCTTCTCATTACCTATGATTTATTCACTACCATATGACTAACCTCACTTGACAGAATTTCAAAATAATACATAAATGGCACTTAAAAAATGTTTGTTTTTTTTTAAATATGATAGCTGCAATGCGCGCACTACAAGCAGCGTGTATGCCAGGAGCTGGCTGGCTGCGCATAAAGGCAGAGTTGGCACCTGCTTACTTGGACGGCAGGTACCTAATGTGCCAAAATGTGCCAAGTCTAAAGGGGAGAATGGCAAAGGAATGCTGATGTCTGTCTATTCTTCCAGCACTGCTCCTTCACGTCCTGCAGTTATGACATCACTCCGGCCCCTGCATCACTAATTACTTTCTCGAGGCAGGGGTGCATATGATTTTTTTTTGTTTGTTTGTTTTTTTTAGACCATGAGGGATACTTCTCCTTTAACAGTTGTGAAACATTGGTTTACACCACATAGTTTGTATCCATGATGCACTGAAATGGTGTATAACCCTCACATTTTCTGAAACAATGTATTATTCTATCTCAAAGTATATATTTTGCATTGAACACATATTTCTTACAATATAGTTAATAATAATAAATAAATAATATAATTAAAGCCATTAAACCACAACCCCAAACGCACTTAACCGGGGAACTCACTATCACCCCAGTTCAAAATGAGTGTAAGTAAGGCTGTTATGAATATCATAATCTAGTATATTTGTTAGTTTGTTTTTGTGGTGTGTGTGTGTGTGTGATATGTGCAATGTTTGCACAAAACAACGATTTACCCTTGTGCAGCCCAGTCATATTAATTCTGGCTGCAGAATGTTTCATAAACCAACTATGTATCTCTCTTATCCCCTCCTCCACTTTAATTCCAACAAGCTGACAATAAGTAGAATATGAAAGAAATTAATTAACCATATTTTTGACTAATGAGATGGCTAAAACATGAGTTAACCCTATATAAGACTTTTAATCGCTGTCTCTGTTGAAATTGTTATCTACCAGCTCACTAGTTTGTTTCCAGATTATAATTTGTCACTTTTCAAGTAGCTGTCAGAATCACACTGGCGGGGACACCAGTGAACATATCTAACATAGAAAGAGGTATTGTATGCCCTTAGGTGACTCAGCATTAAAAATAAAATACAAATAAACACATTAAAAAAAAATACCATTAAAGAAAAAAAATATATATATATATATATCTCCACAGAGAGATGAAAAGGGGAACTAGAACCAGCCAATGTTCACATTCTGGGCGATAGGAAAATTAAAAACAAAACAAGGAAACGTCAAACAAAATCTCACAATGCCCCCCCACCCAAAATAAAACTAATAAGAAATCTCTGTGTTTGTGCAAGCAATGTGTTAGATGCCTGGTAACAACTTAGGGGTTAATTTGTATCTGGTAGGATTTCAGCGATTGTTATGACTTCCTTTAATTCCCATGAAGCGTCAAAGTGTTCTTTTACTAGGACAGTGGAGAGAATGCTTAGTAGAGATGGGATCTAGCCCAGTACAGGTTTATGCTTTGCAGCCAAAGGATTACATTACAGCATAGGGGATCTATGGGCCCTGAGTGTCCTAATCTGCAGAATGCACTACATGTAGAGAAATCCAATACCGTGCAGTGCTTTTACACATGGATTAGGATATTCAGCGCACTAAAGGATGGTAGCGTGTTTTGTTCAGAGATAATATTATACCACGTAAGATTTAAGCAAGGACAGGCAGCTGATAACAGATTACTTCCCAGCATACTCGGCGCTAGGCTGACATCACAATTTATTTCAGTGGAATTCATCTGATTTAAATCCTATAATTTGACAAATAACTTATCGATTCATGACAAAACATAAAAAAAATGTTTCATATCAAAGATATCCCCAGGGGTGACTCACAATGGGACAGTACACATGATTTCTTCGACCACAGCTGCACTCACTGTCTGTACTGCTTACAGACCCAGGAACTTAACATGTCATTCATGTCTGGGACCCTTTTAACATTGCCCCCTTAATTCCCCAATCCACTCTCAGGTACCTGTCTGAGAACTGGGTTACTATGTTTGCAGGCAGTGTAGACACCTGTGTTTGCGCTCATTTTAGTTTTATATTGTTCTAAACAAACAGGTTAGGCTTTACCCACCGTCTCCCCATTGTGTAGGTTTATGGATCCTCCCATTCACAAGCTTTTGCTGCCATTAGGATGGTTATGCATGTATTGGTTTGTTATGTGCATGCTAATGCTATTAAATTCCCATTTAAAAGGGAGACTCCAGGATGCATGCAATCGGGCTGGCAAAGCATACTCCTGGCTGATTAAATCCCTCGGTTAGTAAGCCAGCTAATGTGAAAGAATTTAGGCAGCAAGTGTCGTCTGAGAAGAGACAATAATTACTCGTACCTAAGCTGCCACTCTGTTATGTATTGGGGTGTTATGCAGTCCACCTTCCAGTAGATGGCCGCATAGTGAAGTTATGCACTTGTTCTGTTAGTCTCTCTTGTTTTTGTTATTATGTGTGTGTACTGAAGTAAAGAGAAGTTCTATTTTACTACAATGTCTGAGAGCCATTTTGTGAATATATAACATGCTAATACACTAAACTGGCGACGAGGATGGGATGTCAGTAAATGGACACTGCAGAATATATATAAAGGAAATAAAATCACCCTGAGTGAGGAAGTAACACTTTTCTTTTGGAATTCTGTTATCTACAAATATTTCCAGCGTGGCCTCTCTGGGACACATGGAGGAATTTGATCTGGCTAATCCAGCCTCATGGGACTCGTATATTGACAGGCTTGTGTTTTTCCTGGAAGCTAATAAGGTTTATGCTATTCAGAAGAGAGCTGTGTTACTGAGTGCTATTGGATCCAAGACTTTTGATACTGTCCGCTCACTGATATCTCCTGCTAAACCACAAGACTACTCATTTGAAGAAATACTGGCACTGTTAAAACATCATTTAGCACCCACCCCATCTGAAACAGTGAGGCGTTTCCATTTCAATAGACGAAATCAGAAACCAGGTGAAAGAATTGCCGCATACATTGCAGAACTGCGTAGGCTCTCTGAAAATTGCAATTTTGGTGCCAGTTTAGAATCCTTGTTAAGGGGCAGGCTTGTGTGTGGGGTGCAAGATGAAGCACTGCAGAGGAGACTGCTTGCAAGACAGAATTTATCTTTTATTATTGCACAAGAGGAAGCACTCGCAAATGAGGCTGCATATGTCCATTCAAAAGAGATACAATCCTCCTCCAGCAAAGAGAACTCACCTGAAATAAATCTAGTGAAGAAGACTGATGTTAAATCAAAAGACTTTTCACCACGCACTGATGTCATAGCTCCATTTAAAGGAACTTGTTATAGTTGCGGTGGAAAACACAGGCGTAATACATGTCGTTTTCGAAATACAGTTTGCCACACATGTAAACGTACAGGTCACATACAGACAGTTTGCCAAAGACAAGCCAGTGAAATTCAAACCAAATATAAGAATGTGAATAAAATGCAAACCACAGCGCACTCTTTTAATACTCCAGATACCGTTTCAGATAGTGAAATGACTGCAGGTGTTTACTCAAATGACTATGTGAATAAAGTGGAAAATTCGCCATCAGGACTGAAGATTTACACTGAAATTGTGCTGCAAGATGTTCCGTGCAAAATGGAAGTAGATTCTGGGTGCGCATATTCTTTGATTTCAGAACACATTTACATTGTTATGGCCTCATAATTCTCCTTCAATAGTACCTTGTGATATTCATCTGGTGGACTACAACAAACAGGCTGTGGATGTTAAAGGGGCTTGTTTTATACCAGTAAAATATGGTAAATTCAGAGGACACTTACGTTTAATAATTACTAAGGGACAAAGTGCAAGTTTGCTAGGTAGAGAGTGGTTTAAACCCTTAGGAATTTCATTAACTGGAGTTAATAATGTATCCACCGATTCTACAGAATGTGATTGATAAATTTAGTGCAGTTTTTGAAGAAGGTCTTGGCATGTTTAAAGGCCCTCCTGTTTCTTTTGTATTAGATTCAACAGTACCCCCAATTCGTATGAAGCCTCGTAAAATTGCATTAGCTCTCAGACCAAAAATAGATGCTGAGATTACACGTCTTGTGGAACAAGGTATACTTGAACCCGTAACACACCCAAAGTCGTGTACACCCATAGTTCCGGTGATGAAACCAAATGGGGATATCAGAATCTGTGCTGACTACAAATGTACAATCAACAAAGCGTTGCAAGAGCATCCCTCTCAAATTCCAGCTGTTAATCAAATTCTTACTACTTTGGCAAAAGGAAAAGTATTTGCCAAGTTGGATATGGCTCAAGCCTACCAGCAGTTACCTGTGGATGATGAGGTTGCTGATGCACAAACGATAATAACACACAAAGGAGCTTTCCGAGCAAGACGTTTGGAGTTTCCATTGCTCCTGGCATATTCCAGAATTTAATGGAGGACCTCTTATCTGGACTTCCAGGTGTAGTGGATTTTGATGACGTTCTTATTGGAGCAGATTTTATACAGTCATTGGCTGCACAGCTACAACTTGTTTTACAACATTTTCTTGATGCTGGTCTAAAACTTAAAAAAGAAAAGTGTGTTTTTGGTGTAAGTAGCGTGGATTTCCTTGGTTACCGAGTTGACGCACAGGGCATTCATCCAACTGATTCTAAGGTTGAAGCTATCCATAGAGCTCCGGTTCCAACAAACAAACAAGAACTGCAAGCTTTCCTAGGGTTGCTTAATTTTTACCATTCATTTCTGCCTGATAAAGCCACTGTTGCTGAACCTCTGCATTGTCTTCTAGATAAAGATGCTCCATGGAAGTGGACTGACGTTCATACTACCGCTTTCAGCGCTGCTAAAAACCTGTTGTCTTCTGACAGTTTACTTGTACACTATGATTTGGAGAAACCGCTCAACCTCACCTGCGATGCTTCTCCATATGGCATAGGGGCTGTATTGAGCCACACTTTGAGAAATGGGGTTGAGGCTCCTATTGCGTTTTATTCACGGACTTTATCTACTACAGAGAGGAATTACGCCCAAATTGACAAGGAGGCTTTAGCTATTGTGTCCGGTGTAAAAAAGTTTCATGACTATTTGTATGGGCAGAGGTTTACTATTATAAAAGATCATAAACCTTTACTGGGTCTGTTCACCAGCAATACTCCCACTCCTCAAATAATTTCACCATGCATGCTCAGGTGGTCCCTTATGCTGAATGCCTATGATTGTGAGTTCAAGTATCGTCCTGGCAAGGATATCAAACATGCAGATGGAATAAGCCGATTATCTTTGCCTTCTCCTGACTTCCTTTTTCCTCCTATGTCTGAGGTCCTCATGTTGGAATCCATTCCAAACCCTCCATTACATGCAAGTGACATTGCTTGTATGTCTGCCAAGGATCCTTTGCTGTCCCATGTGCTCAACTGGGTTTGGAGGGGATGGCCAAAATCAAAAGTGGAAGACAAGTTCAAACCATTTGTAGTGCACCAACATGAACTATCTGCCTATAAAGGGTGCCTATTATGGGGAAACAGAGTGGTAATTCCAAATGCAGGACAAGCTCGAGTATTGCATGCTCTTCATGAAGGACATCCTGGAATAGTTTGCATGAAAGCTTTAGCCAGAAGTTATATTTGGTGGCCTAAAATGGATGAAGTTATTGAAAAGTGGGTGAAGAACTGTGTACCATGCCAATCTACTCGTCATGCTCCACCTAAAGCCTCAGTACACCTTGGTCCCGTTTACATATAGATTTTGCTGGCCCTTTTCATGGACGGATTTTTTTTTTTTTTAGTTGTTGACTCCTTTTCAAAATGGTTAGAAGTTGTTACAGTTACATCTGCTACCTCAGTCACAGTCATAAAGATTCTAAGGAGGCTGTTTGCTACACATGGGTTGCCAGATACATTTGTGTCTGATAACGGAACACAATTTACCTCATCAGAATTCAAAATTTTCATGGCAAGTAATCTTATTCGACATGTTACGATTGCACCATTTCACCCATCATCAAATGGTCAAGCTGAGTGTATGGTTCAGACTACCAAAGACTCATTAAAGAGAATTATTGAAGGAGATTGGAATCGTAGACTTGCAAATTTCCTTCTGCAACAACATGTGACACCATGCTCAAGCACTGGTAGTAGTCCAGCAGAGCTCCTTATGAACCGGCGTCTTAGAACTTGTCTGGATCGTTTACATCCTGATTTGACATCTGAGTTACAAGAGAAGCAAGAATTGCAATTCAATAAGAACTATAATGCTTCTACTGTGAGAGTATTTGCACCTGACAGTGCTGTCTATGTCAGGAATTATGTTTCTGGGCCTAAATGGATACCTGCAAAAGCACTTGTGGCCACAGGACCTTTTTCATACAAAGTTCAAATTCCTGATGGTAGAATATTACGAAGGCATGATCAGATCCGGGAACGGAGTGATGAGATTGTGCCTGCTGTCGGTCCCAGTCATACCGGGTTTTCTGTGATACCAGATGATGTCGAACCACTGGGTCATACAGGTGTCAGTTCTCCAGTAGTTGTTGTTGCAGAACCAGTTCCTTGCGGTCCATCTGAGAGAGCACAGGAAGAAGGGATGGGCACAACTGAAGGTCCAGGTGAAGCAGCACCAAACATGGTTTTGGGGCGCCCAAGAAGAAATATTCACCCTCCCAGTTATCTCAAAGACTTTGAGGTCTAGGGGGGAGGAGTGTTATGTATTGGGGTGTTATGCAGTCCACCTTCCAGTAGATGGCAGCATAGTGAAGTTATGCACTTGTTCTGTTCTGTTAGTCTCTCTTGTTTTTGTTATTATGTGTGTGTACTGAAGTAAAGAGAAGTTCTATTTTACTACAATGTCTGAGAGCCATTTAAGTGATAAGGAGAATTTAAAAAGTATCCAATAAATATTTGTGGACGTTCGATTGGAATAAAACTTTTAAAGGAGACACATAATTATTTTATGCATATTATGATAAAGTCCAGAAGCAGAGTCCTAGTTGAAGCTCCCTTATTATTGGATGTTTCAAATTTAAATCACAGCTTTTGATTGGCTACTGAAGTGAGATTCTGCAGCACATTCTATACGAGTGACTACTTAATCACGCAATCCAGCAAACTGTGTGCACACACATTTCAAGCAGTGTATATGTATATTAGTTCTGTAAGTCAACAAAAACATGGTGCTCTATATTTCAAATAACTTTTATTTTTATTTTTTTTAAAAAGCTACCATGCAGTTTAGAACCTCTTGGGGCCCAACTGCCTACCATTATAGTAAACCGTTTAACAAAGACAAATCTGTTTAAAGGACGGTTTGTGGAGAAATATTTAGGAGAAGGTGAATTCTTGTGAAATTGGAGATGATTTTTTATTTTTATTTTTATCATTGATTGAACTAATAAAGTAATTGGATAACTTATGTATATCAAGAAACCACAATTAATTTGCAAAAGAAAAAAAAAAAATTCTATAAACAAATATACTACAGCACATAATTTGTAGTTATATTCCTTTTGTATTATCAGCACTTATATAGTGCCAACATATTTTGCAGTGCTTTACAATTACACAGAGGGGATATAAGATACTTTATACCTTAATTATTTATATGTATACACACTCTCTCTCTCTTTCCCTAGAGTTGACCTAGCTGGGCTTTTAATAACACAGATGTATTAAAAGTTGCTTCTAAACAACCTGTGTTAGTCAATGTATCTTAATTAATTGTACCTCTCCCCTCTCCACATGCAGTTTCATTCCTACCAGTCGATTGGATAAAGGGATAGGGGCCTCCAAATTCCATTCATACCTTCCTGTTTTGGGGTAACCACAAGAAGCTAAAATGTGGGGGATGTTCTAAAAACGTTTTCAGTGTTCTGCATCCCCCACTGGTGCCTGTACCATGGACTATGACCTATACACACCCTTTCCAACTCATTTTTTTTGTTGAAGACATATTTATTAATTAGGGACTAGTAGCCATGACGACGTCTGGTAATTCCAACTTAATAAGGTTTCTGCAGCATTCCGTGGCACCAGATTGGCTTGTAACTCCGGTGATTATTTTATGTGCTGGTTTGGAAATGGGACGGTAACATGAAAGTAAGAAGGTTATAATCTGCAAGAGGGAACGGCACATAGATCTTTAACTATTTCTCAGCCAGACGATTCTGTAGCTGACGCAGAAGCAACTCATAGCTAAACTCTATAAAGATCGGCACAAAATGTCTCAAAATAAATGTGGGGAAATCGTGACAATAAATCTGTAGACTAATTGATGATATTATTATGATTATTAGCATTTTTATAGCGCCAACATATTCCGTAGCGCTTATATGATTATCATGAGAGATAGTTTTAAAATCCTAAATACAATAAATTATATCTTGCACACACAGTGTAGAATTGGGGTGCCCAAAGATAGATCTCCAGATGTTGTAGAACCACAACTCCCACAATGCTTTGTGTGTCTTTAGAATGACAGAGCATCATGGGAGTTGTAGTTCTAAAACATCTGGGGATCTACCTTTTAGGCACCCCGGTGTAGAGAGTAAATACATATTTAATGTGTGTGAAAGGGTACACTGACATGCCTGTTAAATGGAATTATGGTTTGGCCAAAATGTCTAATTTCAAATGTCTATATACTTGGTGGCAGCATTAATAAGGATACTTTTTTGTTTGTTTGGGCACTGCATAGCCACATGGCCATGCCTGCATTACAGTTTGACATGTTTGTTAAGTTTTATTATAATATACTGTGCAGTAATAGGTAAAGGATCACTATAGTGCCAGGAAAACAAACTTGTTTTCCTGGCACTATAGGGTCTTTGAGTCCCCCCCACCCTCAGGGTCCCCCTCCCGCCGGGCTCAAGAGGGGTTTCGACATCATCCTCCGAATGCGCATGTGCGGCAAGAGCCGGGCACGCATTCAATCAGTCCATAGGAAAGCATTTCGGCACCATCTACTCACTGTGAAAAACACAGTAAGAAGCGCCTCTAGCGCCTGTCAATGAGACAGCCACTAGAGGCTGGATTAACCCATATGTAAACATAGCAGTTTCTCAGAAACTGCTATGTTTACAGCAGGCAGGGTTAATCCTAGATGGACCTGGCACCCAGACCACTTCATTGAACTGAAGTGGTCTGGGTGCCTATAGTGGTCCTTTAAGATTTGAAAACTAAATACGACTGTCCCTGGTTATTCCTCTGGTGTCCAGTTTCTTTGAGACACAGGAAAAAAAATTCAAATACAAATCAAAATTCTTACTGAATGGTCTGTACTATCAGAATTATGACAAACCTCTTAACTGTCCTGCTTTTGGTGGGACAGTCCTTATTTTAGAGTCTTGTCCCGCCATCCCAATTTATTTCCTGGTGTCCCGCGTCCAGAGACACTAGGGAACTTGCTTCAGGCAGCGTAGTGCAAGGGCATTATTACACACCGTTCAGTGGGCGGTCCCACCCCAGTGACACAGGTTGCATGTTTGGCAACACCCCAATGAACGCCCGCCCACTGATTCCAGTTCCATAAATCCCAATGTTGGGAGTCATGTTATATAAAATTTTCTTTAATAATGTTTATTTCATGTGTGTTTATAGCTGACGTTTGTGCTCACTGTGACCACAATGCTTCTTTATGAGAAGTATTTGGACACTTCTAGCCTGAACAAGGAAGTATGTACGGAGTTAAAATGAGGTGAAAAACTGTGTACTTTTTACATTTTTTTAAGGCAGCCTAGATTAGGTGGAACTGTGTTGTGAGCCGTGTGCTATTAATTTAAAAGTAGCTCACAGTACAACCTGATTTGGGAAACTCTTACTTTGAGAGTCAAACTTGAGTGGAAATTGTTGCAGTTGGATTCTTGAGTTACTACATTAGATAAAACTTACTTTACAAAACCATTTCAGCTTTAAGAGTACAGCTTTTTTTGTCACTCCACCCTCCAGGCTGTCAATCAGGCAAACGGAATTCACTCTTCTGTCCTGCATATATCATTTTTGCACAGCAAGTGCATACGGAATGCCATGCGAGTAGGTAGGAATTGTCCTTTC